GATTCTATATTACAAAACGCACCATATTCTTTGGCCTCCGGGTAATAAACGGTGTCCACGTCTAAGACATCTAGTGCGTTCATTTTATTGATCTCATTTCTATCGTGCATATCAGGCGTGTCAGTCTGTCTGTCCACTGAGCCTTGGGCGGCCAGTAATCTGTCAATTCATTTACTGACAGCAATTTTAAAAAATGTCAGTCTGGAGCAAAAAAGGATTGCTCTAGAAAGTTGAAATTATTCAGGTATAATATGCTCCTCTGAAGTACATTGTGATGTTTCCGCACATCTTTTTTTATCTCTTCCTTGCAAACATACAAAAACATTTTCTACTATATTCTCAAATTCTCAAACAAGCCCGTTCGACTTTCAACTATCTACCACACCTACTAGCGTTTTTGTTTAGTTCGGCCGTGGACTAACCTCGCTTTTAACATTTGACACGATCTACCAATAACCTCTTTAGAATTCAGCTCAATACGAATAAGAGCTGAGTCATTGTCATAAGCCTCATCCGTTGATTGTAGCACAAGCTGGCAGTCACTAGCATGTTCATTTCACTTTTCACCTGTGTAAATAAACCGGCCCAAACACAAGCTTCCAGAAGCGTGGACCAATACAATAAGATTACAGCACTCGCTTGATTGCATGTTAATATGTAGACCACTTTCATTTGTGATGTTGAATAAAAGTTAAATTGACACCTACATCCTTAATAAACGGCGCCAAACGCACGAATTCTGTTTACATGAAATAAAAACGTGTTCTTGACGACGGAGATTTCAAAGTCCAGGAGTACTCGTTATGGAATCTGTTGGAAAGTTTTCAGGTGAATAGCTTCTGTATCTTTGCGTTAGTTATTTCTTCATTTAGTTAGATGATAAAAAGCCTAATAATTATACTAGAAAATAGACTTGTTAGTCCCGCCGCTGCTGGCTCATAAAATAATTTTTTGAAATTAATTGTGAAACAATAAGTCTTAACTGCAAATGCGGAATTTTTGCCTGTTTTAAAGGACATTTGTGAAGCTGACTGGGAGAGAAAACACCGCATGTCAATCAACGTTTGTTAAGTCTTCAGTCTCAAATTCAGAATCAAAAAGACATGTCACTGTATAAATAATGTCATACAAATGCTTCCATCTTTAAATTTAGAAAAAATAATGTAAGCCAAAAAACAAGTCGTGTCTGTCCAAAAACTGTCGACGAACGACATAACCACGAGTGAAAGATGTTCTTGGCGGGGATTTATTAATCCACTCAGTCATGTGCGTACTTGATGAAGAGGAAGAAAGGGATTATCCTTATAAAATAGGAAGAAGGCATTGTAGCTTTGTCTTGGTTAAGATGCGATTATTTCACCCCCAAGATGAGAAAGTACTTAGTAATTCTGATTTGTGTTTGGACTTATTGAGCACTGATGAAAGGAAATGATCTACAGGCGGTTAAAAGGGATTTGTCAAGTGTTCTCAAATTTTTGAAGTCTAAGGCGTGAAACTCTTTCGCTTTTGTCGCCATTGGGTCTGGATCTCTTAACTTATCCGAGCATTTCATCGACATGTATATAGAAAGATGTTTGTCCTGAAATTTAGTTACAATTGTGGGTTTGATGTTTTTATTCATTTAGATAAACTTGATAAACGACGTGCTGTTTTAGACGCTTTTAAAGAACAAAGGCACTTGCTCTGTTGTAAATATGCAGATTATTTCCTTTTGTGTGTGAGTGGAAAAACCAATTTTCAATGCGGGGAACATTTGATGTTATATCCAATATTTTTCGTCATAACTAGAAGAAATCAAAACCACAATTGATCATTACCTCAGCCGTGAACTTCGTGTGAATATCCTGTTACTTAGTGGTTTTAGAAAATATTCGGAACAGATTTTTCGTATCATAACCAACAACAACACCGCATCGCCATCATGGTGCGTAAGTTGACACGACTTAATTTTTATTTGACTACAAGAAATAATGTTACGACAACGCAAAATTATTTTGTAATATTTGAAATTGTCTTGACACTGACAGAAATCACGAAATCAAAACCTAGTTATGTTGAAAACCTCCAGGACAAAACTGACCTACTACTCTGAAAATAGCAACGATGGTAAACATTAAGAAAACATTGACCCTTGAACATCTACAGCAACTTTAAAATCCATTATAGACTGAAACTTTGCTTCTTGTCTGGCTCTAGCAAAAATCACTGAACCGCAAATTATACCTTCTAAAAACTATATTATAATTTTTGACGTAAAAAAAAAAAAAGTTGTTTTTTTTGAAGTACTCTCGAATACGAGGTGGTTTTAAAATTTTCCAACCTTTATGTTGCGCATGCGTATTCAGTCAGCGTTTATGATACGCAAGTGTTGGACATGGACCGCATTGCCTTGTAATTTGTAAACAAAATTTTATGGACAATAATTCTTGAGTTAACGTTATCATCACCATTACTAAATTCACTTGTTAACTTCTCCTTCTGTCGCTGACCGAATACATAAACTGACACTTTCTAAGTACCACATTATCAAAACTCAAGGTGATTCCTCATATATACTTAAATGACTAAACCACTTTCAACTGCTAAATAAGTCACTGATTCTGCCCGAGTGTCTCTCCTTTGGCGGCGATGAATTTAATAACTTTAGACGATGAATTGTAACATTTAAGACGATTGGAACTGTCTGAATGAACTCGACTCAGTTTTACTCATAATAATCAACGTCAGTTATAATTTAAAAAAAAAACCCGGAAAATTATTCAGTTTCATCTTAAAAAATCATTTCATTATAAATTTTTTAAGGAATTACAAATGTTCTTTGTCGTGTAATCGTCTTTTGTTTTAGACTGATTTGTGGGTCTTAAGAATTTTTATTTGCTGTTGCTGCTTCGAGTCAGTCAGTGTTTAGAAATGACTTTTGACACATTACGAGATAATTCACTCTCAACAGTGGAAAATGTCAATCGCCTTATTGTTGGTTACACGTAAATTAAAATGGTTGATGCTTTTCTGTTCTCATCTTGGTTTTCTTTCTTTTGTGTTTTGTTAATAGATCAAATGAGCCACTACTGAGCTATATCTCGTTCGATCTTTTTTACACGCCTCCATGTAAACCGAATTTCATGCAAAATTAACTGCTCAGTGGGGAAGGCCTCTAGAGAAAAACTACCAGTTCAACTGATATTATAGCTATATGCTGAAGTGATAGTCAATTTAAATAGACAGACCAGCGATGAAAGCTCAGGTTTATTACAAGCAGAACACGTTATTCGGGTGATGCAGTGTGTTTTCAAGGTACATGAAGGTACAAAGTCGAAAGTCTTTCAGTTCTTTAAGGAATTTTCCTCAGTGAAGGTCAAGGGAACATATTTATATTTATCTCTTGTTTGAAATTGTTGGAATCTTTACAAGTTCGTGTATTGCGTGCAAAAATTAAGATTACATGGATAAACATGAAGATCACTTTGCAACCTTTTTGGCCTTTCAATTTCCCCTTTTCCTAAGACTTGAAGCAATCTTGATGGAAATCCTGATAAGACCTCTCTGGGAAAAAAATGACTCCGTATTTGAATATTGGGATACGATCACAGCATCGATAATGGCAATCATTTTAAACTCAAAATTCTTGACAAGAAATACTGTTCACAATTTTTCTTCAGTGTAAGTTAATTATCCTCAAGTCTTCCTTCACTTGAAGCAGGAACAGACCTAGTTTATTGCTGCTCTGCGACTCTTCATATCGTTTCAATCTGAAAAAACGTCATTTGACCACTGCAATCTAATTAAAATATTCCAATTCCTGAGTAGTGACTCCAGCGGAAATTTGTTCAAACGTTTCAGTAGTCTGTACATGTTCCGCAGACGATGGTTCAGGAGAAAATATGTTTGATTTCATGTAATAATCAAATTTCCGAGCTTCTGTTTCTAACGAAAAAGCAGCAACTGAGGTCGAAGAAACTCTTAACTACAATTGTGACATGTCAACGTCGAGTTCACAGATGCATCAATGTTAAATTATATACCAAACCCACGAATTTGCCACATTCAAATAAGCTCACTTTGACATGCGAGAACTGTTTCTTTTCTAGTGCATTTGATAAAGGACGTCATGTTTGAAGAAACTTAAGATCAGAAATACAACCCTTATCCCATAGATTACAGAACAGCAACAACAATAGCAAACAGTTGCTGCACACCAAGGCAAATGAAGAGGGATACTGAAGAGTATATGGAAAATAATTTAATCTAAACTCGCCACCTTCGTTGAGAGGTCTAGGGCAGATATATGATGCAGTAGCCCATGTCGTTCAATGAGTGTAAAAGATACTCCTATCTCCATTCTGATTTAGCTGATCTTTTTGCGGGGGAGATAAAAAGATCAAGTGTAAATAAACATTGTGCGCGTACGTGCACGACTGGAGTTAAAATGAACCTTCACTATTGAATTAATTTGTCAGAACTTTAATTGTTTACTGCAATTGCAATCATCTCCATGTTGGTCATTTCTAAAGTCCGTTGATGTATTACGGCCTTGCTCGGTCGCGGTTCAGGGAAGATGATGCTTGACAGCGAAATCAGTTTTGAAGGCAAGGATTAGTTTTATGTCGTAGTGAAGAATTCTCAGTTTGTTTTTTCTCATGCAATAATTTTTTTCAGGAGCTTCGTTCAATACCACAAGAAACTCATCAGCCGTTCAAAGTGAAGCTAGTGGCTACTTAAAAATGACTTACGATATTCTCGTTCCATGGACTGTTGCATACTCTATGGTTGCCGCAGCCATTCTGTTTGGTAATGGCCTTGTGATAATCTCTTTTGTCAAGAACAAGTTTCTTCGTACTCATACCAACTACTTCATCGTTTCTCTGGCAGCCACTGATTGGTTCGTTGGCATTATCTCCATTCCTTGGTGGATTGTTGTTCTGTTTATTAGTCATGAAGGAGAAACTTGGTATGCGTATTTGCACGACATTTGGGTGATATTTGATATACTTGGCGGTGTAGGTTCAATACTGCATCTAGTTGCTTTAAGCTGGGATAGATTTTGTGCCATTGTATGGCCTTTGAGCCATCGTATCTACACCAGCAAACGCTACTTGTGTATTTTGGCCTTAATTTGGTCGATAGCGATTCCAGTTGCTCTGTGTTCCAAACCGGGAATGGCATTAGCACCAAAAGCATACAACGTGACTGTCATAGTACTTTGTTTTTTCGTTCCACTGTTTATTGTGTGCGGAACACAAGTTGCCGTAGTTATTTCTATTCGCAAGAACAGGGTGCAGAACTCTTACAGGTTTAAAAGGAGTCTTCGCAAAGAGGTCCGCGTTGCCAAGACAGTAATCGTAATGATTGCGTTGTTCATCATTGGGTGGCTTCCTTTCTTCACACTCTCCTTGATCACTTACTTAAAGCCAGAGATAAAGCCTTCATGGCAAGCGATCTGCGCTGTAAAATTCCTTCAGTACGGAAATTCAGCCGTCAATCCAGTGTTGTATGCTCACAAGTTCCCTCACTTCCGTAAAGCGTTTGCGGCCATACTGTGTCCTTGTCGCGAAGTGAGCAAAACGGCACGAAACGTCGGAGAGAGTTTCAGGACCACATTATCTTCCTTCGCTTCTGGTTCGATTCGAAAGAAAACAAGCGCAAGTTACTGGACAAGCTTGCAGTCAGCTATCTATAATCGTGATAACAGTTCGAACTTGGATTCGTCGCCGCACAATTCGGCACGCGACACTGGTACGACTGATCGACATTCCGCTTCCGAGGAAATCGAACTGCAAGGTAGCAACTCTAACGGTTCTTCATAAAGAGAACCAAAAGTATATTGTCGCTCTGGAAGCAACGAAGTTATAACCTTAATAGTTCTCTCCCTAAGAAAAACTTTTCCTAGGAGTGGTGATTGGTTTTAGATATAACAATGTTGGAAACTGACATTTTTCTTTGATTGCTCATCTTTACTGATATTGAAGAAAAGAGAAAACCGACATGTGATCACTGTAACAATAATGTATTATGCCGGAGAAAACGAATTTACGGATCACAGGCAGGAGTCAAACGTTCTATAGATTAGTGATCATTAATCAACCAATCAAGCTGATCAATAGATTTGATTGATCGATTGACCGACCGCTCGGCTCCGCTGCCAGCTGATCGACCAAGCCAGGGATCGATTGTTGAAAACTTTTAACAGACTTAGCGTTAACTCGAAATATAAATCTTAAATTGCTTGAGAAGTCTAATTCATTCATGCTATGTTAAAATATCTCATCTACCGAGATTACTACTTTTTTCGCAGTGGTGTGAGACCTAAAGCATGTTTTGCTTTGAAGGGTATAAGAAAAGTGAGGTCTGTTAGCTTCTGAAACGCTGATGTCACTACTCGCTTACATGACAACAACAACAAGCTTACATGAGTGCGAGAGTTGGTCAACTCGGGACGTTTCCTTAATTATTTGCTCTTAGAAAACTTGGACCTGTCACAAAATCGTCAAGTTACCGTAATCTGTAAATCTATAATTCGACTTAGTGTACGAGGCTCTAATTTACCTTTGATGGTTCTAAGGTGGGCGCTTATTGGAGACGAGGTGCTTATCGAGGACGGGGCGCTTATTTCATTATAAACATATACATAAGAATTTGATACATTATAATCTGATGAAGAACGGCAGATACTGTCAGTTTAAGTTCAACATTACGTTCAAATGAGAAAACGAACTTAATTCATCCATCTAATCGGTCTGTTCTATGTTAGTGTCATAAATGTCACTTTTTTTATGGAGGCGCTTATTACAATATGGTCGCTTGTTAAAAAGGTGCACTCGAGGGGAGCGCTTATTACTAAAGGGAGACGGGCGGCGTGATAGATGGGTGGGTGATAATGACGATGATAATATAATAGAGGTGGCTGACAAAATCTCTAAATAAACATATGATTAAGGAAGAAAAACGTGCAAGCGATTAAATAATTCGACTGAGGTATACATGGAAGTGGGTTGGGTGAACTCGAATCTCATATCATACTCACTGACCGAAGTATTTACTGCAGCGTTAATAACCGTTAAAGTTTAATTGGGAAACCCCGGGCTTTTCAACGCCTTCTTCATTAGCACGTATGTGAATATTTATATGCATATAAAACATGGCTGTAAAAATTTAATCAATATTCGAAAATTGAAATAAAATAATATGGTTAGTGTTGTTACAATTTTGAGAACACTTCCAGACCTTCCACGAAACCTTTTTCTCTTATTCATTGTATTCTTCCTCCCGTCAGTCTTGCCTTCTTGACAACGTGTTGATAAAAGCTTTTAGTATCACCCAACTAGTGGACTAATGAAAATCCTGCATTTTAATTGGTTACGTTACTAGAGGATTATTAGTGATAGTCCTCGAGTAGCGAAATTGGCGCAATCGAGCGTGACGCTTTCTTCAGTTTTATTCCCAAATAAATAAATTTCTGCAACTTGCATTTGCCAACTTTATTGTTGCCTTTTCTGTCCGACTAGTTGGGTCATACTAAAACAATTAGACCCTTCGCCCTCAAGGGTCACGGGTCCATGGCCCATTTGGCTTCGTCTCATGGCCTATTGACCCGTAGCCCGCAAGGGCTACGGGTCTAATTGTTAAATATTACATGGCACTGTTTGTAACCACACTTGAAAATTCAAGCTTATCCCTTAACACTGTAGTCATGTCAAATAGTATAAATACTACTTCCCCGAAATACTGAACAACCCATAAAAAGGCAGCCCCCTACGAGATTAAAATTCTAAAAGCTTAATTAATTATTCCATGGAGCATTACCTTTGAGGGGAGGCGCGGTGGCCTCATGGTTAGTGCGCTCGTCCCCGGATCGAGCGGTCCGGGTTCGAACCCTGGCCAGGAACACTGTGTTGTGTTCTTGGGCGAGACACTGCCTTTCTCAACCCAGGGGTATAAATTCCGGGGGAGTGACCTGCGATGAACTAGCATCCCGTCCAGGGGGAGTAGAAATACTCCTTGCCGCGTCACGCTGCAGAAACCAGGATAAGCTCCGGCAGCTATGAGCCAGTCGGCTCCGAGGTTTCACTATTACCTTTGAGGGGTAGGACGCCTGAACCTCAGCGATTTTACGAATGTAAGGAATCTCATATTCTTGGTAATGTCTTAATGGACCGGGCTGGGAATTGTTGTCAAGGTTAACGCATCTATCATGGCAAAAATTAAAACGCTGGTGCTCGATAGAGAAGCAGCTCCAGCCAGCTTACTGATGATGCGAGGCAGCAGAAGCCGAGAGTAAACTGCAACACGGGCCAACCCGCTCACAAACCCGAGACAAAGTCAAAAGCTTTCCTTGGAACGTGCAACGTCAGTTGCTTCATTATAGAAGAGGGGTCAGACTTGTCCTTATGAAGGGTAAAGATTCACCGGTGCAGAAAACTAGTCACAGTTTGAGAAAAAAGTGGCCAACGTACAAAAAGACAAAATTTTCTTATCGGTGCCATTCCCTTGACTTATAAGAAGTAGCGCATGACAATAGGGAGGCACTGTGCTGCAGTCAGTAGGACGCCGTCTTGTAATCCGGAGGTCTCCAACATACTACAAGCTGAATTTGCTCCTCGTTAGACCCGAGTTCAAATCCTCAGTCACGAAATATAAGAACCCAATCGTTTAATAAACTCCAATACCCCAGTTAGTTAGGGCTATTTATAACCACGTTGTATATCTGTCTGGATCCGTAAAAACATAGCAACAGAATTTGACTTGTCACTGATAATCTTGATACAATTCTGTCCTAGAGCTAGCTAGCGCTTTCCACAAAGCTTATCGTAGCTCAAATAAAAGGAAAGAACTCTCCTGTATACCTTTAGAGGCCAGGAAAACTAAATTCACCGTCTTTTCGTTGAATCATGAATTGTACAATTTAATTAAGAGTGCTTTTAACATGAAATTGGAGTCTAGATCAACACGAACGTCCAGATATCAAAACCGCCTTTCTAAAGGCCTGCATCGTCCTAAATGGACTGAACAAGAGCTTCCTACATCGAGAATCGATTGAAATTCAAACAAACTAGGCCATAGTRAGCAGTAAGCGAACACTCAACATGTTGTCGTTACGTCAATTATCGACTGGAAGCCACGCAAAAAAATTTCTTCCGCGCTAGCGAATCACGGTCAGTTCTGATAGTTAGCCAGGCCGAGAACGCCTAAAATTGATAAAACAACGAAATTCTACTCACGATTGGCGCGCTTGACCCAATCTTTTTCACTCCGTTCCTAGCCATGTTTTGCTCGCAAATAGCAATGTTCCGGATGTACCTGAATTTCGTTGGGCGGGAAATGCCATATCCAGACTTCAAGAGATTTTTTTCCAAGTCTTAAGCGGCATCAAAGTTCAGGGCAAATAACGCCGACAGCAGCTACAAATGTCTAGTCCATTGCACGTCTAAGTCATAAATTGATGTGGCTAAAGCTCTTTGCTGTCTACAGCAAGCACAACATTATCGCCACAGTGCAAACGGCCTACTATTACGGGGCTAAGTGACGCCCCATTTACATGTAATAACATGTAATACGTCTCAGGACCGCTCCATGTACGATAATGGACGACGCTTGCTAACATATCGTTAGACTTGCACCTTTATTGGACTTAATGATGTCCTCGGGCAGACTTCCTTTAGACAGCAGTTACAGAACGCTGATCGGTGGGCTCCTTCTCAGAGTCACCGCGCGAACTGAAATTCAGACAAGTGTAGTCTAGGCTAAAATTAACAGTAATAGACCATATTCGTATTCTCGGTATTGGACTGGAACTAGCTTGCAGTGGAGGCTCATGTGGGGGATTATCATTAAGGCGGGGGTTAACTTGAAGGCCATATTTTTGCTGGGTTTTATGGTTTGAATGCAAATATCTCGTTCACGTTTCAAGCAGTGAAAAATCTCTCTGCTCATTTCACATAGCTACGTTTTGGGCTGTTTTGTGAATTTTTTTGGTGATTTTTGGGTATATTTGGGGATAAATAGTCTTTCTCAAAGGATAAGTAAAATTTATGGAAATAGAAAATTTTGAAGATTTGATGTTGTTTTAAAATTAGAATTTGAAGTTAGAAATTGGTAGACGTACACCAAACAGTTGCCCACCAACCTGGGGTGCCCTTT